TCTAGAATAAAAAAGACAAATGAGCCTTGACTCCACCCCTATCCCGTGAGGAGACTCCAGTTCGGCAATAAGTCCCACCACTCTCCCCTACATCAGGCCAAGGGGGGTGAGGACCTCTTGAGCTTCAGACCTTATATACTCCCCAGAGCTTCTAACTGAATAGAATTTGTTTTACCTTACAGCTTATAATCTCAGCTGGGTTTTAGGTACCCAAAATGGGCCTGACTAGATTCTTCTGAGAAATGCAGAGAGCTAGGGGCAGGCCTGGAAAAGATCAGGGACCCACTAGTGAACTAGGTGGGAGATTTTGAGCAGCCTCAGACCTGGGCAGGGTAGACTGAGGGGGCCGTAAAGGGAAGGGCTAGGGCTCAGAGGCAGGTCACTTTTCCTCAGGCTCTTTCTACTTCTGGCTTGTTGCAAGTGGGGTTGATGCTCCCCTCACCCACACAGACCTTGCTCAGTCTCCACCCTGGCTCTTCTCCCATGGGACCCAGTTTCCATTCCATGCATTCTCAATTAAAGAAGATTTATACAACTGACGTGTCGCCTGTCATCTGTGGGTGGCAGGCATTGGCAGTTGCTCTGGGCCAGACCATGTCCCAGGGGCGGGGCGGGTGGGCTGGTGGCTGCCCCCCAACAACAGGTGCACATTCTTGGGTGCCTCGTCACTTCCCCTGCACTGGCTTTCCTGGTAGCTCACTGACTGAACTCACTGAGCTACGCGGCTGAGCAATGACCCCAGGGGCGCTGCTGTCGCTGCTGCCACTGCTGCTGGGGGCGCTGGAGGTGTCGCTCCTCCCAGGTAAGTCTGGGCCTCAAAGGGTCAGTGACAGGGCCAGAGGTCATGGTCAGGCACAATGGCTTCCCTTAGTGCTCTCTTCCTCCAGGCGCCCGCGGCTCGGAGGCGGAGGGCCGGCTCCGCGAGAAACTTTTCTCGGGCTATGATAGCTCAGTGCGGCCTGCGCGGGAAGTGGGAGACCGCGTCAGCGTCAACATTGGTCTTAGCCTGGCGCAACTTATCAGCCTGGTGAGGGCGCACGCCGGGGTTGAGGTCAAGCTCACCCACGGGCTTGAGGGCGTGGCTTTAGATAGGGCAGGGCAGAGGGACGCCTGGGGCGGGACCAGGCTGAGAGATGGACGGCCGTTAGCCCAGATTGGGTCGAAATCGGACCAATGGATAAACTGTGGGCATGGCTGCTGGACAGGCCAGGAATAGAGCTGGTTAGGATGATGAACAGGCGGGTGGACCGATCTTGAAGTAGTGCTGGGGTTGATGGACTGACTGGAGGGCGGGCCTTGAGGGTCACATGCTGGGGCGGAGCTTGGTGTCGGAGAGCGTCAATCAACAAGAGTGGATGGAGATTAATGGTTGGGTGAATTACCAGCCGTGGGTTGGGACCCCGGAAAGAGCCAGGCAGAGGGCTGGCATAGAGTGGGACTGTTAGAGGAATTGGTTGGCACTGTAGACCTTAGGAAGTTTCTGAGATAAAGGCGGGGCTTGGAACCTACAGGGTGGGACTCAGAAGAAGGGGGGAATATCTAGGGAGAGTTTTACCCACCAAACTCCCTCATTTCTCTCCATTTACATCGCCTCTACCTTTTAAACTTTTCCCTTCTAGAACGAGAAGGATGAGGAGATGAGCACAAAGGTGTATTTAGACCTGGTACGGAGACCGCATGGGGTGGGAAAGGGCGTCCTACTGCCTTTACAATTTCCTGGAATGTCTCGGCCCAGTAAAGAATACATATATATTTTTTTTGCATCACGACCTCAGAAAATATTTATAACTGAAACAGAAGCTTCAGAAAACAATACCTATCTTTCCTATGGGAGTTGCACTTAAAGCGTTTTTCTTTTGTTTATTTACTTAAAATTTTTTTCAATAACAGTTGACATTCAATATTATTTTATATTAGTTTCAGGCATACAGCATAGTGGTTAGACATTTCTATAATTTACAAAGTGACCCCTCCCCATGAGTCTTGTACCCACCTGGCACCATACATAGTTATTACAATATTATTGACTGTATTCCCTATGCTGTACTTTACATCCCCACGACTATTTTACAATTACCAATTTGTACTTCTTATTCCCTTCGTCTTTTTCACCCAGGCGCCCATACCTCCTCTCATCTGGCAACCACCAGTTTGTTCTCTGTATCTATGAGTCTGCTTCTGTTTTGTTCATTCATTTATATTGTTCTTTAGATTCCACATATAAGTGGAATATTTCACTTAGCATAATACCCTCTAGGTCCATTCATGTTGTTGCAGTACCTCATACATTTTTCATTCTAATTTTTTAACACTCGTTTGGGGCCACTAATTTGATACCTGACCCACTAAAGGGTCGCAAACTGCAGTTTGAAAAACACTGTTTTAGAGGATAGCTAGTGCAACGTCCCTTATTACAGACCACGAAATTGGGGACCGTTGTGAGGAAAGGGTAAATTAGCTGATGGGGTCTGAGTGAGTGCAAGTGGAAAACCCAGCCTCCCAAACCACAGCCCATGCGGCACCGTTCCCTTCCCTTGCACTGGATGCTCGCTTCCTTCAGACATTCCAAGTCTCCTCCCAGCCTCCAGCCCCAGACAGCCCCTCAGCCTCTGCTTCCCTAGGAGTGGACTGACTACAGGCTGAAGTGGGACCCCGCGGAGCACGAGGGCATCGATTCACTCCGCATTACGGCTGAATCTGTGTGGCTACCAGACGTGGTGCTCCTAAACAAGTAAAATGTTCCCAAAACTGGGAGGTGGGCGGGGCCTCCGGGAGGGCAGGGCCTGATCCCAAGTGATAAGATTCGTTCCCTGCAGCAATGATGGAAATTTTGACGTCGCTCTGGACATTAATGTTGTGGTATCCCCCGATGGCTCCGTGCGCTGGCAGCCCCCGGGCATCTATCGCAGCAGCTGCAGCATTCAGGTCTCCGGTTTCTGCCTGGGAAGCTGGAGGCGCTCTTAGAAACCCTCCTTGTTCTCAGACATTCTAACTACCACCCCTCCTCCATTATCTTCTATGACCCTCACATCTCTCTTGCCCTCTTGATTTTCCCTTGAGTTTTATCTCCTATGTTCACTTTCACTGACGGTCTTCTTCAGTGACCTCCCTCCATTGCCCATGGCCTCCCCAAATAACCTTCAATTCCTCTGTGACCCCCACTTCCCTGTGACCTTTCCTGGTGGTCCCCATCTCCTTGGAACTCCATATCCTCTGACCCCTATCTGCCCTGTGACTTCCCCAATGACCTCCCCAACTCCTTCAGCCCTGATCAGTTCTCTAGCAGCTCTAGTGACTCCTCCTTCCATCCAGGTCACCTACTTCCCCTTTGACTGGCAGAACTGCACCATGGTGTTCAGTTCTTATAGCTATGACAGTTCAGAGATCAGCCTGAAGACTGGCTTGGGTCCCAATGGGCAGGAGCGGCAGGAAGTACACATTCATGAAGGGACCTTCATTGGTGAGTGGGCATGGCTTCCACATCCATGGGCTTTTTGATTTCTAGTTTCTAACAGGCTGATAAATATACTCCAACAGTGATGCTCGACACAACCCTGTGGTGTCAGCAAGATAGATATGACTACATTTTTCAGATATGGAAATCGAGATGTACTCAAGTTTAAGATGGACTATTCAGCTCAGTGTCCACAACTAGTCCCTTATCACATCAGCCTCCTCTGCACTAAAATGTGGCAGAGCAAGCCACGTCCAGCACCAACAAGAACAGGTCCACATCTGTGTCCCCTTTTTCTGCTCTTCCCCCCATCCCACAAGAGAATGGCCAATGGGAGATTATCCACAAGCCTTCTCGGCTAATCCAGCTTCCAGTGGATCCTAAGGGAGATGGGGAAGGACAGCGTGAAGAAGTCACCTTCTACCTCATCATTCGCCGAAAGCCTCTCTTCTACCTGGTCAACGTCATTGCCCCATGCATCCTCATCACGCTACTGGCCATCTTTGTCTTCTACCTGCCACCAGATGCAGGTAAGCGGGCAAGGGGCCTAGCTCTCCTTCTTACTAATAGCTCAGCTTCTTCCTCTTTACCCTTAATCCAGGTAAGATTTTCCTGCCAAGTCAAGCCTTTATGTTTCAGCAATCTCACCTAGGTTTTCTTTTCAACCAGAGCCTTTCCATCTGGATCCAGATTTTCCCTCCAGCCTCAGGCTCTGCCTCTCCTCTGTTGCTCACTTCTTTCCACCCAAGAACTTCTGAACTCTTCTTTTCAGAATCCTAGGATCTCATCATTGGAACCTCTACTCCTCTGACCAACAAACTCCTGGGCTTAGATAACTCACCCTTTTCCCTTTCCCCATTCCTGGCATCCTCCTTCCCCCACTTTTTAGACACCTACTAGTCCCTTAATCTCCCATTTCCTTTGCAAACAATAGCCAATATTTCTGTAGGAGGCAGCATAATGTAGTAACAGAGTAACCTTGGGCAATCCTTTAATCTCTGTGTCAGTTTCCTAATCTGGAAATGGGGACAATTATTGTTCCTACTGAATAGGATTATTTTGAGGACCAACTGAGTTAATAGAATTATGCCTGGTACCCAGTATATTCTATGTAAGTGTTAGTATTGTCTTTGCTATTTTTGAGCACTAATTATACTACAATGAACATATTACATAGATTAACTCAATTCTAACCTTTACAACAACTCTGTGAGGTAAAACTGATTTGTCTTCCCATTTTACAGAGCAGAATAAAGGGGTTGAGAGAGTGTAAGTCATTTGCCTGATATTACACAGTTAGAGAGAGGCAGTGTTGCTATTCCAACCCTGATTAGTGCCAGTCTGATGCAGAGACCCATATCCTTGACTCTGGTATCCATAACATGCTTTCCTTCTCTCTGAAATCAAGTCCCCTTT